GAATTAGTTTTCGCTTGTGCTGCTTTATCTGAGGTTTTGCATTGTTTGGAAGCCAAGCCTTCAGTATGTACGGGAGAAGTAATTGGAAAACAAAAAAGGGGTGTGTGGAGAAAATGGACAAATAGGCTCAAGGATGGACAGGGAAATGCTAGAGCTGTGCACAGAAATGTTTACATAAGCAAGCTCATGATAACATACACACAGAAAAGTTTTACCATTGAGGTGCATGCATCTTCAATGACCACAGCTCATGCACTTCCACTAATGCAAAGTGATCTCTTTCAGAATTCATCTTCTAGATGGTCAAGTGACCCTCAGAAAGAGTTTGGTTTTTGTGTTTTCTGCCATGCCATAGCATCCTTTTTGTTTTCTTATTCCATAATTGCCTTATGAATCTGAATGGCAATGCTAAAAGAATTTTTTTTTTGTAGTCTTAGTGAGTGTACTGCAGTCCAACTCATCTGGAGATAATTTTAGTGAACTATCTAGCTTTTTTTTTATGTCTCTGGCATACACAACTGAAAACATGTGATATGTCCTCAGAATGTGTAGGCCGTAAGAGTTAACAAAATTGAAATCCACTTAAAGACTCTCCCTCTCCCTTTTCTGATCACCTTTCATCTTCCCATCACCCTTTCCCTTCTCTTTCTCTACTTCCTTCTCTTCTTGCATTCACTGTCAGGAAGGGCCGGCGCCGAAGGGCCAGTTCAGCACAACCCGACGCCGGCAGAGACTAGCAGCTGCAGTGGCTACAACAGTGAGTGGATTTAAAAATCAAGGGATAGCTCTAAAGATGGGAAGCTGTGTAACTTGAATGTATAATAAGCTTATGAAAATGTTTCTTGCACTTTTTGGAGGTGTCCACGCTACCCACTTTCAGCTGAGTTGCTTAGAAGTGGTCAGGCCTGACAAAAATGAATTCCATAAATGCGGGTCTGGACTTGTTTATGTGGTACGTGTCCCTCCTCCTTTATGCAAGTGCAAGTGATGGTTAGACTCAGGCCCTGCACTATCTGAACATGTCTTTGACATACTCTGCTATGTACTATACAAAATGGAAAGAAACGATAAAATTCTGTTAAAAGATTCTTGTGACAGTATATAGCAAGACAGCAGAACCAAGGAGATTTGTTACAAACAACCATGGAATTATAAAATTTCCTGATTTTTTTTTTTTTTTTTTTTTTAAAGTAGTATAAGGTTAGCCTTTTCATTTGAGACACTTTCTGTTTACATTCCATAATCCCAAAAAGTCATATTACTACCTCTAGCATCTGTATTTAGTTTTGCTAATTCTTTAAGTCTTTGATGCAAAATCTGGAGCTATGAAATCAACACAGGGGCTGGGATTTGGGAGGGGGAAGTGCTGTCTGTGAAATCAAATTAGCATCAAAAGGATATCTTCAGCAAAGCAGGAAAGCACTTATTAGGAATGCAGGATATGGGCATCAGTACTAATCCATCACCTGATTAGTACAACAGCTAGATAGGGAAGACTGTGCAGCCAAGTCTGGAGTGAGCTTTAAATGCATCCCCTTTACCTAGCCCAAGCCATGAATGTCTTCACCAGACTGAAGTATTCTAGGGTCTGCTGCTCCAGCCCATAGCTAAAATCCCCTAGATCAGACCTAGCTTCTGCTTAAGCCTGAATACCTTGAGGTCCTGCTACCTGTGCCCCAAAACTCAGTTGCTGTTAGGTCCTCCTAAAATGCATGAGAGAAATCAGTTTCTCCAGTTCCCAAATTAACTCATCTAAATTTAATCCCCTGTAACACGTTGGTGCTGAATGCGGTGCTCAATAATTGATTGATGTTCTGACCTCACTGGTCTGCGGAGAAATCCACCTGCTCCTCGGCTT